CTTCCTCATTTTCCCTCCATCCCTCTTTCTTCCTCATTCTCTCTCTCTTTCTCTTCCTTTTCGCTTCTCTGTCTCTCTATCTTTCTTTTTCTCTCTTTTCCTTTCTCACTCTTTCTCTTCTGAAACTATCACATGGTTGCACCTCCAAAACTCGTGATTAGAGATTGGCAACTGATCTTTCCTCCAATCTAGCTCTAACATCTGGGGAAAAACTAACTGGTTACATCCCATCATCGCCAATTGGGCCCCAAACTCCCAGCAGTCACGATGAATGGATGCTCCCTCAGGGAGGCCCTGTTCCTTGTGTGACTATTGGGCCTCAAACTCAACTCAGACCTCAAGTATGACTTATACATATGATCCATCACTAAAGAAGCAGGAAAAATGGTCAGTTCCCTGAATCACACCAGTATCTGACTCTTTGTGCTATCCTCTCCCTTTACAAGAGCCAGATGAAGCCAGAAATGAAGTATTGCTGTCATATATGGGTAAGAGCTGCCAAATCCTCACTTTTCAGTCTTGATCGTCCAAAAGTGTCTCTGCATCCTTTGCGGGTGACAAATTATTTTCCACCCTGCAATCTCTCATGGGTGAAATTCAGCAAGCCTCTCACTGCTCAAATGATAATTCCAAGGAAATTGTTCAGACAAACTACACTCCATAGTTCCACCAGTTTTAACCTTCATGGCTAAGACCCCACCATGCCACGCCCATTGTAGTGAACCACCCTCATTCCCTCCATATTCTACTGGTGACAAGTAAGTTCCGCTCAAGCCGATTTTTCCCACAAACCACTGCTCTGTGGAACCGACTCCCAAGACTATCTTTTCTCGATTATTACAATCTTGACCTGTTCAAGCCTAGAGTTAAAGAAAATACATTTTTATAGTAGAAATACCAGCAATACATTTTATATAAAAAAAATTAGCAACAATACATATTTATAGTAAAATTACCAATTTACCTACTTATAGTACAATTGGTAACAATAAATTTTTTATAGTAAACTTACCTGCAATATATTTTTATATTGTAAAATGACCAACAATACAATTTTATAGAATTATGAACAATATATTTTATCTGTAGTTGAAGGCATACAATTACATTTAAAATATATTTAGTTAAAGCTATATTTAGATTTTGACATTAAATAACCCATAGAGGTATTGATATGCTGCTAAACAAAATCAACCAACCAATCTTAATTACAAATGAAATTAAGAGGATTAATCTGTGTGTGTGTGTGCGTGGTGAGTATGCGTGTGTGTGGTGAGTATGTGTGCGTGTGTTGAGTATGTGTGGGTGTATAGTGAGTCCTAGCTGTGAAGGTCTGAACTGGTGAAAATAAGGAATGTATCTCATCAGAATATTTTTTTGTTTGTGGGTTAGAGGTTATAGAACAGAAAATAATGCCTCACTTATGAGGCAATGTTTGAACTCTGTCAAGAGGAAAGTGATTATTAGGCAGTCAAGGCTAGAATGTAAGGATTGTGCAGCTCCAGACCAGATATTTGAGCAATGCACTATTTTTAGTTCTGATTTGACTCTTGTAAAAATAGAGCATGGCAGGAGGAATCAGATATTTTTTCTGGCCTCTTTAGCAATGGATCGTAATATGAGCTCCAATCAAGTTGCAGTAGGCATTCATATTGACATAGTCATATCGTTCATTTGGAAGAAGCAAAGTCAGCCAGCTACTTGCTGTCACATGGTGGCTTGTCACACTCTGTTGAAGCTACAGCCAGCCATGAAATGTGGAAGCTGAAGACGTCTTCAACCTATCTATTGCTATGACATTACTGACCATTTTCACATATTCTTCAGACTTAAATACTTAAACAATCCATTACTATCAGGATTTGATGCCAAATTAAAAACTACCACCACTTAGTACAGGTCATCAAAATTCTAAACAATACAGTAGAGTTTACCTAAGCATTCTATAACAGTTCTCTTCCTATAGCTTGAGGGTAGGGAGAAAAGGATTCATGCCTTTCCTAATGGCATCAGTGAATGTAATCTGTTTCTGCTGGAGTTTGAACTTGGTTTGTATATTTTAGTTCTGTATGACATTAGCTCTTAGGCCGTCCGTGTCTGCATCAATTGAAATAATTCATCAAATGTTATCAGTAATTCCACTCAGAACTTCAGTCAATAAGCTGATTTTGGCTTAATTAGCATTGCTAATGAACATGTTCTTGATTTTCCTAATGATCTCAGCATTTTTTTTTTTGGAGGGGGGTAATCTCATTGCGGTAAGGTGGGCGTGGTGTTTTGTTTTGGCTTCATGAGAGGCCTGTGGTAGCAAAAGTTCTCTCCAAAATTCTCAGGCAGAAATATTCCCTCAGTTGTTTGTGGGAAAAATACTTTTGTTTTTTTTTGTTTCTCTTTAAAAAATCAATTAAAATAAACAAACACAAAGGCAAAATATTTTCAGTATTTTGTTTATTTAGGTTTTATTTTTTTTTGTGGATTTTAATTGATCACCTAGAAACAGTATAAAACCAAACAATTGAATCCAAAGATCTTTCTTTCTGTTCAGAAATTTTTTAACTCGAATAAATTAGAAACATGGTCAACTCCCAGAAACTTCCATTTGAGAAAGAAATGTGCAAATTGTTGCATTTGGTGTAGTCTCTGGATCTCAACACTATTGCATAGATGGTGTCAATGAAAAGACAATTTCTTTTTTTACTTGTTTTGTAGAGGGATAGATATGGCAGCTTGGATTCTCAGAGGTAGCGGAACGAAGGACTTCAAGGGAATGCATGTCGCTTGTTGGTTTAGCATCACTACACATGTGGTCTCAGACTGTCTCTCGAACCTGGGTACCGGAAGCATATCAACGCTTCAAAATTATTGCAGCCCTCTAATGAATTTGCACTGTTTTGGACTTATATCCAAAACCAAGATAAAAGCAATCCATCACTGTCAGAATACCATGCTCATAAGGTACTCTGACCATCCTGACCCTGCCCTTGCATTTGGGAAATAAACACTTTCTTCATTTTTTTTCTGCTTGTTTTTTTTCTCCAATTTTCCAACAAAAAAAAAAAAATAAAATAAAGGAGATACAATAAAATCCATATACTTGACAAAATCTTTTCCAGCTATTTTTTTTTTTTTTTTTTCTTTTACTATTGCCTGGTTCTTACAATTCTTTTACTGTTCCAAATTTTTGTCATTGCAGCCAAATTGGCTGCAACGATTTTTTTAAAAAATACTCCTTATAAAAATGACAGAGTACCAAATATATTTATTATATAACTGATATACAAGAGTTCAAGATATTATCTAAGATTTTGATGTTTTCTACAGGTATCTGATATCTCTTTTGTTGACAGTGAATCCTCATAATTTCGCTGACTCTAAAAGAAATGGCATACATAATCAAAGCTTACTTCTCCATCTCAAAAGAAATTCTGACACCATTTTAAAAAGTGACAGGCATGACCTGGAAACATGTCCCTGTGTGCTGTGACAAACTTCTATGAGGCAGGCAATGCCAACTCTGTTTGAAATGAGAGGGCGAGCTCGTACACATGTTCTCTTCATGGTGGTGACCATCTTAGGGAAGCAATATTCAAATCTTAGATAATATGTTGAACTCTTTGTATATTCGTTATGTAATAAATGTATTTGGTATCTGTGTTCTTTTTATAATTCAAGATACCTGCATTTAAAAAGTCTCATCATTAGGGAACACCCTGTATATTCTAGCAACGACACTCATCATTGTTCTGTTGAAACTGTTTCATTTGTTCCCAGACACTTGTTTCCTTAAGAGTATCTGGGATTATGAAAATGACAAAGATTACCAAATATATTTATTACATAACTGATATGCAAGAGTTCAACATATTATCTAAGATTTTACTATTTCATACAGGTATCTGATATCTCTTTAGCTGATGGTGGACCCTTATAATGCCTGCCTTTTTGAAATGAGAGTGTGATCTCCTGTATTTTCTAGTTTGTGGTGGTGACCATCTTAGGTTGGTAATATTCAAATCTTAGATAATATATCTGCCTATATTTGTATTGTAACTATTTACACTATTTCTATCATTCAGGCTGTTATCTTGATCTTTATTTCCATATTTCCAATGTTTAGCTGTTTTATGCTTTGGCCTTCTTCAGGTGATATATGTTAGAATTTTGAACCAAAACACTTTATTTAGTCTAAAATCATTCGTCCTTGCATTGAATACTGTTGCTAAATATGGTCTAGTGCCCCTGCCATTCATTTTGAGGTCTGTGACAAAATCCAGAGATGGTTATGCAATGTGATAGGTCCTGATCTGGCATCTCATCTACAGTCATTTTCTCATAGACATTATGTGACTTCCTTCTGTCTTTTCCACAAATATTTTCATGGCAACTGCTCTGACGAGCTACTTTCACTGGTACCCCAACTACATGAATTTAAGCATGCTACTAGGTTAGCATTTTGGCCCCACCCTTTCACTGTCAAAAGAGTTAAATGTAACTGCCTCTTCTACTCCAACAGCTTCTTCTCTAGCCCTTGCTGCTAGTGAAGCTCCCTTCCTCCTCCTCCTTGCTTCCCTGATGGCTATAACCTTCAAATATTCAAATGATCTTGATCCCCGTCCTTCTCTATATCCTTTCCACAAACCCCCCCTCTTTACTCTTGTTCTCACTCTCTGTAACCCCTTGCGTGCTAGTGGCAGTCCTGTTTTGCATGGGGTAGAATGCTTAAAAAAAAGTTTCCTCTCCTTATTCAATTTAATCTGATTATTAAAGGAGCCATTCTTCCACATTCTTCTACCTCTGTCCCATAATGATTGTTCCATTTAGTCTATGAAATTTGTACGTAAATGGAAGAATCGTTATGGGACAGAGATATAAACTCCCTTCCTCCTACTTGTTTCCTTAATAGCTATAATCTTCAAATATTCAAATATAATGTCAATCGACATCTTCTCATGCCTTGATCACGATCCCCGTCCTTTTCTATATCCTTTCCTCAAACAGTGAAACACTTTCTCATACAATCACCAAAGTTAAGCAACATCGAATCTGGTCAGTACCTAGATGGGTGACCACTTGGGAATACCAGGTGCTGTAAGGTTGGATGTATAGGTAGAATGGCTAATGGCCATATCACATTGAAACACTAGTTCTCATACAATCACTGAAGTTAAGTAATGTTAAGTCTGGTCAGTACCTAGATGGGTGACTGCTTTGGGAATACCAGGTGCTGTGATCTTGGGTGTGCAGGTGGTGTAATGGATAATGGCTCGGAATTGTTCATTGGAGAGCTGAGTTCCAATTCCAGTTGGGTTCATTATATTCACTTATAGGCAAACATGGACCTTCATGCCCACAAATAAGAGTTTGAAAAGGGTGTTGTTTCCATTGACAATTATTATCTTAACTACGTTCACTCGCTTGACAATGTTTACTTACAAGATTATAAAAGATTTATTTAAAAACATTATAAAGAAATAAATGTGAAAAGAAATCTTTTTATTCAAAAGTGTTAAAAAAAAAAAAAAAACTTACAAAATTATCAAAATATGTAAACATCTACAATTCAGTAAATTTTAAAACATTGACTAATAGCAAATTTTACCTACCTTCACACTCCTGGCGATGTGTGTTTTAAAAAGTGATGATTAGAATTTAAATATAAAACCCAAACATATGAAATTGAATTTATACATTTTCTTTGTTCTTTGAGAAATTGTAACAACAATATTACACACAATTTATTAGATTGTTTTATTTACAAAATTAATTTTATATTTACAACATTCTTAAAATGTGAACCAACTAATGCAATGTTTATCATTTTATCTATCATCTAAATAAATAAACAGCAAACTGATTTAACTTGGGTCACACTTGCTCTACATAGACATATTATACCTTTTTGGAATCAGGATGATCCTGGGATTGAAAATTTACCCTTCATCCAGTGCTTGAACATCTTGCTTTTAGATTTGTGTCCAGATGAGAAGGGAACGGTTAAAAATTCAAATTTTAAAATAACTGAAAAAAAATTAGTGTTTTTAAATGTTTTTAATTTGTTGAGATTAAAGCAACACAAAAACTTGTGAATTTAAATTTTTTTCTTTTAAATTCAGTTCAAAATATCTCCAAAACTTTGAAGTTCTGAAGAGTTTATGATTTGAAGAACTCAAGTCAGGTGAAGTTATCCCTTGAAATAGCAGAACAAGAAAAATCTCCCCTCTATAAATTAAATAAAGGGTCCAGTTTGAAATTCCCTGAAGGTTGCCCAGATCGACAAGCACTTGAAGGCCAGGGGGAACAATGACTGAAACACTTTGATATTATCAACAAAGAAGGAGACAATAGTCAGCATATGGATAATAATAAATTCTCATCCATTGCTGTCTTAATAGTAAATTTGATCAGTTTGAGATGGTCAAATTAGCAGCTGATCTCAAAAATAGCCTAAGATCTGTTGTTTACAGGAGCAAGAAATGACTTGTCAATTTTAATGCCTCCAAAATGAAACTGCTCTCATTTAATCATCTGAGAGAAGCCTTTTTATCATCTATCAGTATGGCTGATGCTAACCTCCAGGAGAGTGACTCATTGTGCTTTCACAAACTAACATTTTATGCTGAAATGAAGTAAAAAGATTTTATTGGATCAATTGCTAAGTTTGAAGCTAGGAAAGTTAATTCACTGCGTTGTGCTAGACAATTTTTCTTGCCAGAATCTATCTTACGTTTTCATAAGTTTAATATTCATCCTTACATCGAATATTGCTGTCACATCTGGTCTGGAGCTCGTGCTATATATTTAGAGATTCTTGATAAAATCCAAAGTGGAATATGCAATGTTATTGGTCCTGACCTGACATCTCAGCTTCAGTTACTTTCCCACTGCTGTAATTAATCTTCATAATTCTTGTTCTTTTATTGTTCTCTCTCCATAATAATATCTTGTTTCTCATATTCTCTAACACTCAGTAACCCCTTGCATCTTAGTGACATCATTGCCTTGGTTGAGGGTGAAATGATTAAAAAAAAAAAAAAAAAAATCCCAGAAATTCAAACAAACAAAACTACTACAACCATAAATCAAGCCTTTTTCTCCCTTTTTCCTTTCTTTCTTTTTCACTCACTCACTCTCTCTCTCTCTCTCTCTATATATATATATATATATATATACACACACACACACACACACATACATATTGCATGCCAGACTATATGAGGGTCCCACGTTGGATACAGGTTCAATTCCTGTCAGTGGACACACATTTTCCATGAGATTTCTCAGACATTCAGGTGGGTAAATGTTAATATTATTTATTATAAACAGAGCATTTACTTAAATATTTCTATCTATAAAAATAATGTATAAACAATAAATATATAATTGTCAGACTTAGTCCATTTCATTATTTATATATATATATATATATATATATATATATATATACATACACACCTTTGACTTTCTTTTCTCACCTTTCTCTGTTCCTCTTTTGCTCTCTTTCTTACTCTATGCTTTTTTGCTCTCCTTGTCTCTCTTTGCTCATTTCTCTTTCCTATCATTTCTCTGTGTCTCTTTCTTTCTCTTTCTCCCTTCTGTTCTCACTCTCATCCCACCTTTTTCCTTTTTTTCACTCTCTCTCTCTGCTTTTTTCATCTCTTTGTCTCCTTCATTTTTTCCTTTCCTTGTCTTTCTCACCTTTTCTTTCTTTTTTCTTTCTTTTCTTTCTTTTTTTCTCTTTTCTTTCTTTTTTTCTCTTTTCTTTCTTTTTTTCTCTTTTCTTTCTTTTTTTCTCTTTTCTTTCTTTTTTTTTTTTTTTTTTTTTTTTTTTTTCTTTTTTCTTTTTTTTTTTTTTTTCTTTCTTTTTTCTTTTCTTTTTTTTTTTTTCTTTCTTTTTTCTTTCTTTTTTTCTCTTTTCTTTCTTTTTTTCTCTTTTCTTTCTTTTTTTCTCTTTTCTTTCTTTTTTTCTCTTTATGTTCTTATCCACCATGTTTCATTTATCACCTCTTTTTCTCTCCCTTTTCATTGAGACTCTCTTTATACTTCTTTGTCTCTCTTTGCTGATTTTATTATGTGTAGTTTCCTTTGGCTCCAAATTTTTCTCTCCTTGTCTCTCTTTCATTATCTTTCTCTTTCAGTCACTCTCCTTTTCTCTGTCTTTTGTCTCTCTCTCTCTCTCATATATTTTCATCCTTTCTTCCTCTTTTCAGTATTCTTTAATCTTATTACAGCAGAATGGCAAAAAAGTGGAAATAGGAGTAAGAATATTGTTTTGTATTAATCTTCCAAGTAGAGAATCAATGCTGATTTTCTAGGAAGACCGGAAATTCTGGTTTTAACCTGTGTTTAAACACTCACCCCCAGGCACCTCTGGGAAATGTCTATCTGTGGATATGATTGGATGGGCCTATGCGGTGTATCTGTGAGTACATGGCAACTGTTTACTTCATTAAATGGCTTTACCATTTTGGTAGAAAGGAAATCTGACCTTTTCACATGACAAGAATTCCAACCAAAAAATCCTGGAATTTTGAGTCTAGTCTCTCCTTGAAATTTGTTAAAGAACTTCTCACATATAATAAAATTCACAAACACCTAGGTTTCATTTATTTTATCACCACCACTATTAATTTAAATAAAACCAGTGTAACAATTGAAATATCTAGGAAGCATTGTAACTGTGGACAAAAAGTGTAACACTGAAATCTGAAGGTACATTGGAACAGCGAAAGATGCATTCTAGAAGTCATCTTTCACTGTCCCAATGTGCTTTCTAAAAGGTAAACAAAACATTAAGAAACAGAAAAATTTCATTAGAAACAAAGAAAAGAGTACTGAACTGTTAGTCCGCCAATATGATAGTGAATTCTGGACTCCATCCTGAGTAAGACAATGAACTGTATCCGACAACAAGGCCTTCGATCAGGAGGTTTGGAGGAGCATGGAACCACCTCTTAATTGCTGGTGTTGCCAGGTTCACTCTGACCCAGGGTGGTAGCACCTATTAGGGTACCAGCTATGGGCAAATAGTTGACACCCAAACTGGGGTGAAAACACTGTTTTAATCCCAGCAATACATTTTTGGAAAAAAATATTACCAGCAATAAAAATCTTGTCAATATTATATAGCCCATCAAGGTTGATATACCATAAAGCAAAACAAACCAAACAAATTCTGAACTATCTTCTTACACTTTATATCAGAAAGAGAACAGTCTACCCCCATAGATTAAATAACAGGTTTCAGATGATAATTCCTTGTAGGCTACTCAGATTGACATATACCTGATGAAAGCCAGAGTGTACAATGGTTGAAACACTGTGATAGCAATAACAAAGATGAGGATCATAGTCTGCATGTAAATAGTGTATTGGGGAGAAAATAGTGTTACAAATAAACTTGGATATGGTCAAAAGAAGAAACTGTCAGCTCAAGTTGAATGTAACTGAAAAACTTTAAAAAAATCCAAATATTACAATTAAAGATCCATCCTCCTCTATGGCAGTGAATGCAGGACAATCTCCCCACAGATGAAGAAGAGACTTGAAGCAAAAGAAATGTTGTTCTACAGGAGGATACTGAGAATACCATGAATATTGCTGCCACATCTTGTTCTTGCTGTATCTCTCAAGATTCTTCATAAAATCCAAAGGAGGGTTTGTAATGTTATCAGTCTTGACCTGGCATCTTGACTTCAGTCAATTTCCCATCACCATGACATGACCTTTCTGTATCATTTCTATAAATATTTTCATAGCAATTTTTCTAATGAGCTTTCCTCCTTGGTACCTTATCCACATGAGTTTAAATATAGTACCCTGGGAAGTGTTTTAATAGAGTATTAACAGAATGTAACACTGAAATCCAAAGGTGCATGGGTATAGCGAAAGATGCCTTCTAAAAGCTAAGCAAAGTATTAACAAGAAAGTTTCATTGAAAACAAAGAAAAGCATACTGAAGAGTTACATAATACAAGTCCCTCTACATGGCAGTGAATGCTGAACAATCTACTCACAGATGAAGAGACATGAAGCAACAGAAATATGGTTCTCCAGAAGGATGGTGAGAATACCATGGATCAAACATGTGAGCAATGAGGAAGTTTTAGAGAAAGTGGAAACAAAAAAGACACTTAGAAAGAGGGGGTTGAAATTTATCAGGTAAATAATTAGGAAAGAAGGCTTGGAAAATTTGATACTCACAGGATAGATCAAAGGCAAGAGGGACAGAGGAAAACAGCATATAACCTACCTGATGGGATGGTTGAATGGATGACAGAATAGGGTTTGGGAGAGATGGTAAAAGGACAAAATTTATTAAGAGCTTAAAGGGCAGGAAGTTGTGGAGAGCTACAATTGCAATGTTCCGAAAAAGTCTTTTACTTAAAACCTCAACATTATTGAGTGTATTAAATTAAAGGCATCTCTCTATGTATGTGAATGGTGCATGTGTGTGTGTTTGTTCTTTTGTATTTCAAATAGTTATGTGTTTCTTCTGAGTTTTCTTAATGTGCATATGAGCATTTTTTTTTTCAATTCTAGTATTCCTATTATTACTGGAATTAAGGTTGGTTTAAATGCCACATTCTTGCCATTTCTATTTCCAACTTTAGTTTTTACAGTTTTAAAGATTTTCAAACTTTTTTACTCAAATTAGGTATGGTGGAGTAATGGATAGTGGCTCAAATTGAGGAATCGGAGAGCAGAGTTCAAATTCCGGTCGAATCCATTACATTCACTTACGTGCTAATACCCTTGGGAAAGGTATGAATCCTCTTCTTCTCCTCCCAGCTATGGGTAAATGGTAGGACAGACCAGGTTCTATAGCCTTGGATGGCAATTGGTCTACCGTAGAAAGAAATGGCAACCTACTGCAGGAAAAAAATCTGCCTCGTCAGTCATGTATCAAAAGATATATGATTATCTAAGTATGTATCACACATGGCACATAACTGACTGAGGCTGACCTAGTTAACACTGTGAAAATGTGTCAAAGCAGTGAATTTTCCTTCAATAATTAATCAGCTGCTGATATCTCATTTATTTCCAAGGCTATTTTGATAAAATTAGTATGTAAATGAAATTTAATCATTTCTTTTAAATAAAGGTACAATTCTTTCTCATGCATGATAATTCGTCTTTATTCTACATCTGTCTTTGGATTATGTCAGGATAGCAATAGCAGACACTTCTTTTTCCGCCTTTTTCATAGTGGTGTTTGTCTGTGTGATACCTTTTCACTCAAGATCCATTGTTATACTTTGAATTGTGTCCCTACACATATCAAAATAGTGCCATCTTAAAGAAAAGAAAAGACACCTATCAATTTGATGAGCTTAAGATAAGGTGTTGAGGTGTTTTTTCACAAAAAATATCTACATTGAAAACTTTAGTGGATGAGAAAGTCAGCGCTTAAAAAGATGAAAATTACTTGTTGTGCAATATCTCATTGTTAATAATCACTTTGTTTCATATCTCTATCTTCATATATCTCAAGGTGCAAGCAATTCAAAAAATTATGATCCCAGCTATAGGCAAATAATTGACCCCAAAACTGGGGTCAAAACACTATAAAAGTATAAAAATAGATTTTTTATAGTAAAAAATACCAGCAATCTGTCTGTCTGTCTGAGTCTCAGTCTGTTCATATCTACCTATCTCTCTCTCTCTCTCTCTCTCTATATATATATATATATATATATATATATATATATATATATATATAAAACAGAGGATGTCTGTCTGTGTGATACCTTTTCACTCAAGATCCATCCAACTAATTTTGACCGAACTTGACATATACATTGTATAATGTAAGAGATAGGTTCTTAGCATAAAAAATTGATAATTTAAAAAAAATCAACAATTGATATAACCGATCTACATTTGATATAACCGATTCAACATTTTTCATCTGATTTTGTTCAAACTCAGTATGTAGGTTACTTACATCATGCTGAGCTCGATGATACCTCATTTTTTATTCCACACCACTGTGTTTAGTGAAAAATGAAAAATTGATTTGAATACAAATTCTAAACTAAAAACTCCCTCAATTTTCAAGCAATCTGATACAAACTTCACTCAATTTTAGCCAACAATAAGTTGATTGTTTAACTTGATAATTGAGTCCCCCCCATATTATGAAAACCAGCAATTTTTACTGGTTTCTTTCTTATTTTTCGTTGATCTTTCAACTAATTTACATCAAACTTAACAATTGTTTTATAAATGTATCCTCTTTTACATCCCTGGTAGCACAATGACAAATTGAATTACAAAATTCCAAAATAATTGTGGTCTGAAGTGGGTCTTCATGTTGCCTGTTTTATCCCTTCATGTCCTTGGCTAACTTCAATTGAATAAATACAGACTACTTCTGTTATATCAGTAAATGCATTAATTCAAAATGTTTTTTAATGAAAGTACTTTAAAGTAATTGAAGAAGATAGACTCTGTCACATCTAAACATGGTGCTGTTTTTGCTCCATTCTAATTGAATGCTTTTTCTGATCAACCAGCTGGATATGGCTGCTAGTACATTAATAAAAAATATTACCAGCAACACATTTTTGGAAAAATAAAATATTAATCCATATTCTATTCATATGAACCTATGCCAAAAATTTTGTCAACATTAAATAATCCATTAAGTTTGGTATGCCATAAACCAAACCAAACCATCTAATTCTCAGGATTTGGGGATTAAATTGAAAATTTATTTACATTTTCTTTTACAAAGATGACACTGGATACATTTTATAAAAAATGAAATAAAAAAAGAACTGGATATTCTTTAGTTTAATTTTGGTGCCTGGTTCCATCAAAATTTGAAATGTAATTAGATAATTTTCTAAATTAGTTTTCTTTTTTCTAATGATTATTTGTTTACTTATTATAAGGGTTAGTTCCTATTTTGAGGTTAAAATGAAACTGTTAGATTTTCTTAGATTTTCTAGTTCTTAGATTTTTGCAAACATGTGTTGGATTTTCATATTTTTTTTCCATAAGTTGTTATGGAAGATAATGATCATGACATCTTTTTTTAAAGCGAGTGTCTATATTTTCTTTTCTTCTATGTATGAATGTTTCCCATGTCAGAGACCCTTAAGTGGGTGGTTAATAAAATTTACATTTAATCTTCTGTTCAGTGGATAATGAGCTCCACACCCTGAAAAATGTGGGAGAAAGAGGCCAAAGAAGACTTTGGTTTGGTTTATTTTGTTTTATGGCATATCAACCTCAATAGGTTATTTAATACCGACAACTTTTTTTTTCCTGGTAATATTTTGTTTTGTCAAAAATCTATTTCTGG